CCTCAGCTTTCTTGATTTGTTGCTGAAGTCTGTCTTCCCATATGCCGACCTGCCGGTCTTGGCACCGTGGACACCGCAGAGCAGGAAGTCGCCGTGAGCTGTGCAAAAATAAACCAGCCTCCACTTTCGTGGCACTATTTGACCTGGTTTTGAGGACTGAGCTCTGCAGGCTCTCAAACAGACACTGCAGAAAAACGCCCCCGGACAATCGAGTGCTTTTCATTTCATCTGCTCTGTCACCAAACGCAAGCTGACTGTTAACTAGGCGAGGCTCGAGCTCTCACAGTATCCATCACTGTATCAGAGAGCAAAATGAGAGAACTGAGAGTGAAAACCAGCTCCCAGTTTAGGACAGATGAAAGGGCAGGTGTGAAGGACCGGCTGATCAGTGATGAAGTCACCAGAGTGTGATTGGCAGGGTCTTAAAATGATGGTGGCGGCTTAGCGATCCAGGCAGAGTGCAGCTGATTGATTTCAGAAACCCAAAAGGGTTGTCCTAAAAAGTGAGTTTTTCTTTTCTGTTGTGGATTTGAATTCAAATCAGAAGATGTCTTCCTTATCTAAGGGGATGTTTTGACATTTGGTAAATTCTTCTATTTCTGTCATTGCCAAGAGTTTGATTGGTAACGCTGTCATATCTGAGCAGTAGCTATAAAGCTGGAGCCAGGAAAGCTTTGCATAAAGATGACTGAAAACATGGAAATCTGCCCACCAGCACATCTAAAGCTCATTAAATCCTGTTTGTTTATTCTGTACACAAAACAAAGTTTTTAAAAAAAAAACTTCTGAAGGAAAGACACTTAGCTCAACCTAGAAACAACCTGGAACATAAAACTGAAAATAACTGGTAAATTTACTACAGTTGTGAAGAAACACGCTGTTGTGTGAAGAGCTATTCGTTATACTGGATAACGGTTGCTAGGGAAAAAAGTGTGTTCCCCGACTTGCTGGCGAGTGATTCATGGTTGCTGGCTGTTGCTATGTGAAGTCACATGCACAAAGTAACAGAAAGGGCGCTTCACCAAAAAGCTTCTTGTGATCTCGTTAGTCACTGGCTAGCCCAGTGGTAATAAAACTTGAAAAAATGAAACATAAATCAGAAATAGAGATTGTTTGCTTCCAAAGTAAAAGTTGTGCCTCAGTGATGCACTCAATGTTTTTGTAGAGGTTCATTTTGAAGGCAAATGGCCCATATAATTTAGCCAACCAGTGTTTGTAGAAAACTCCATTCAAAACATCATCACAGGAAATGCTAGCAATTGAAACAATCACAAGGAGGTTTTTTTGCACATTTTTTGCCTAGCAACAGGTGGTTTCCAGGTAGCCCCTGACCAGGCTGTAGTTTAGCAGTCATTTTCCCTGAAACTGCAATCACCCACAGCTCATAACTGTTCAGGGAATACTCATTTTTCTATCACTGACTGGTCTCTCTGAGGCTAAACTGTAATCTTGATTGTAACATGTCTAACATGACGAACAAGTTGTTGACAAGTCGGTATGTTTCATTCAAATTAAGAGCAATATTCTAGTGACTAAAGCAATCACAAGGTTGAGGAATACGCACTTCTCACTAGTGACCAGTGGTTGCCAGGGGACCACTGACCATTTTCTAGGCCTATGCGAATGGGGCCCTCACCAATCGATTTTCCAACAATTGCCAACCAACGACTCGTTCACAGGTTAGAAAATACACATTCCTCCTTCTTGACCAGTGCCTGCCAGATGGTTTCAGGCCTTTTTTGTTTGACCTTACATTGTCACACGTCCAAAATAGCAGTTAAGTCGTGGCTAGTGATCACATGACCAGAAGTGTGTGAGTGGATTCAATGGAAGCCAAAGAGCTCGGGTTATTTTATAACAATCAGTAGAATCGAATAGAATAGAATAGCCCTGTCATTGTAAATGTACAAGAAAATTATGAAATTCATTAAATTTTACAATAGCAAGAATTCAAATATCTTAAATTCTAGCTATAGTCCATTTTTTTATCGTATATTTATTATCTTTTACTTAAATTTGTAGCATAGTAGCTTGCATGAGTTTTTCTTGGTTTATGTAGTTTATGTTTTTTTAGTAATTTGTGTGAATTTGCAGCTACTACGATACAATTTTCCTTTGGGGGTTAATAAAGTAAATTATCTCTCTTCTTCTATGCTTAAATGTTGGTAATCAGTCAAGAGAGCCAAATTGCTGGATTCATTGTTTCATAATATTCAAAATGTGCTGCAGTTGTGCTATTGCACTGTAAAAGGATTACCTTTTAGTTGATAAGACAGGATTAGCAATTTAAAGACTTCAGTTTTTCCTTTTGAGACTTTCCGATTTTACAAGTATTTGCCATTTTTTTAGACTAATGTTTGATAAGTACATACTTATAAGAGGTCAAACAGGTCTTCAGAATTCATAGAAATCTGTTGTTACTTTATTCTTATATGAAAGAAAACTTACACTTCGAGTCTTCTCTTTCATTTCTTCTCTTTGCTGTGTTGAAGTATGCAGCCCTAAATAACACAAAGGACATTTTTTGAAATCCCACACAACTGAAGAAAGTTTACATTTGGATCTTTGCTCAGCTGTTACCAGGTCTTACAGTCCCCCAGTGCAGTAGACTCATGTTAACGGCAGCTGTCATGGTTTCCCAAACATCAAGGTCAAAGGTCAGCTGTCGGCCCCCGCAGACTGATTCCCACTCGTCCGGCCAACGTCAGATTCCACGAGCTGGGCTGACAAAGAGGAGCAGACTGCGTGTGATGAGTTGTTTTCACAGCGTTTTCTACTGTATCAGCTAGTCGCTAGTTTTATTGCTGTCTTCCTGCGTTGAAGTGGAGTTTTTCTTTTCTAGATAAGGCCCAGTGCCCTCGTTTACTCCCAGAAGACAATACACCCACCAGCTTGACGGTTGTTCACTCAAGCGAATGAGTTTCCCACAGGGTCAAGCCAAGTCCTCTCTCCCTGTCACCTCCATGTTCACACAGCCTTTGCTTCACATACATGAAAAACTAATCTCAAAAGCGTTTCTGTGTCAGCGCACACGGACAACAATGGCATTTCCCGTCATATGTGCTTCACACACCAGAGTCCCAGCTATAACATTAACAGTTCAAAAGTTAAATGCTTATAGATGTACACATCATCTCAGTTTTAAGCTGAAAATGACATTTTGTGTGAGAAAATTAGGCTGTCAGTGCATTTTGTCTCAGGGGTGAAAGCTCTGACACTTTAAAATGTCAGATTCTCAGCCGCTATCAAAAGCAGCTTTGTTTGTAAGTCGGCCCATGTTGAGTGCCTTTGAGTTAATCATTTAAAAAAAAAGAAAGAAACCCACTCGTTTCAGTGTGAACCCGAGATATTTCACATTTTTCTTTTTATCTTCATTTCATTTGTTAGCATACAACCATTCCACAGGACTTCCATTAACATGATGTCCACAGGTGATTGTGATCCTGATTTGCTGCAGTCTTTGAGGAGCAAAGATGGGCAGATTTGCTCCAGTTTCTCAAGAAATGCAAGAGAAAATTGTAGAAATATTTAAAAATGGTGTTCCTCAAAGAAGAAAGAAATCTGTTGGAATTTCAGTGCATAAAGAGGAAAGGTGGAAGCCTACGCTGAACACTCGTGACCCCAGTCGCTCAGACATCACTGTCATCCGTCAACAGCTGATATAACAATAAAAGCAAAGGATTTCTGTGGGAAACCTTTATGAAGCACTGCAATCACAATTACATTCACAAATGCAAATTTAAATTTTACCGCATGTTGATCTGTGACGATGAAAACATGTTCTGGTAACAACAATCGGTATCCCAGATCTTTTTTTAGACGACATGGAAACCGTGTGCTCTGAACCAAAGACAAAGACGCCATCCAGACTGTTGTCACCAACAAGTAAAACAACATCTATGCACTTTTCAACAAAACAAAATAAAACTACATTATAAAGGCCCGCCTACAGTCCTGACCCATCCCCAGTAGGAAATATGTGGAGAATTTTAAAACGCAACAAAAATGTAACAAAGATGTGTTTGCAGGAGGAAAGGTTAAAAATAACACCTGAAACTTTTTGTTGCTTGGTATCCTCAGTGCTTAAATGTCTCATAAGTGTTTATTGCTTTACTCTTCAAATGTTTTTTGGGAATTTGTTGCAAGCCTGAACTGCAGGAATGAAATAAAGTCGATCATATTCTCTGCAATCAAAAGCCAAAGTAAATATGTGGGTGTTTTTTTTAGTCGGCATCGTGCATGTCATCCCAGCTTTTTCTGATCTGGGGTTGTAGCACATGATGAACCGTCAGGGCTGGAATTTGCATCCAAAATAACTCTTGCTGGGCTGCCTCCATGTGTCTTTCCTGTCAGTGTTAAAGGTCTCACGGAATAGTTTTGGGGCCTTAGTTGTTGTGTAAAACAGGATGTCAGGGTTGGAAATATTTAGGTGGGGTTTGAGTTAAAAAGTTAAGACAACAAAATCCACTGTTAGCCCCTATTCAGCAAGGATGAAGGACTACAAAAAGGATGGTTGCGTGACAGAGCAGCTGATAGTCCACGAGGCATATCAATTACATGGTTATCTTCAGTTTCCATTAATCTAATTTAATGCAAAAATTGTGTGGGGAAAGGCCCAGCTGAATCTTCAAAAGGCTGACCAAGGTGACAAAATCACCTTTTTCCAAAAACCCAAAGATATGTAATTTGTTTTCAAATGAAATGAAGAAAGCTGCAAATAAACAAAATTGTTACTGAATCTTCTGACCCAGTAAGTGATTAATGGAATAAAAGCTAGAGGTTCATGTTCTGTATCACTATGAACTGGCCCAAAATTAGGTTTATATTTCATTAGATCTTTGTAGTCTTTGTGTATGACCCTGGAGTTTTTAAATACTATTATGGCTCTGATTATAATTTAGATTCATTTCCTTCTTTAGATTCTGAGGATTCAGCACTTCATCTGTTATTTGAATGTACTGCAAGTCCATGTAATTATACTTTATTGTCTCTTTCCACAGGGTCAACTGTCCCAGGCCCTCAACGGCCTGTCAGATCGAGCCACTGAGGCCAAAGAGTTCCTGGTTCAACTAAAAAATATGGTCCAGCATATCCAGGTATACGCAGATACATGCACACACGTGTTTTTTTTGTTTGTTTTGTTTTGTCTTTTGTACACACCCATAATCTGCATGAATATTTTCTTCTACCAAGCTGTAATCCCCCTCTGTGATCCCAGACTGTCCACTGACTGCCATGAGCAGCAGACACAAAAAGGCTTATTGTATTCATTTGAATTTCACATTTTCTAATCTTTGGCTTGAACTCTGCACAGGGCCAGATGGGAAGATACTATCTTAATAAAACTATAAAAGATGCTTGCATTAAATTTGAGCTCAGGATGCAAAACAAAGTTGGTTATAAAGATTAACATTTACCGAAACACATGGTTATATTAGCATTAATGGGAATTCCCCTTTATTCACATTCATCTATATTATTTTCTTCCATCTAACACATTAACCAGGTCTAAATTTAGATGCTCATGTGGAGACAAAGCTTTGGTCAGCTTATGAGGGCGATTAGAGGAGGAAGGTGGGATTAAAACCTCTCGTGGGTAGACGTCACGCAGTGTGAAATGGTGAGGGTGAGGTAAAAGAGTAGAGAGGCGGTGACGAGCAACAAAAAAAACTTAAGATGTGTGAAAAAGTGACAGCATGAGGCATAATTGTCACGTTTATTACTCTGCTGATGCATGAATCATGATGATTTTACTCACGCTTCTCATCTGAGGAGGAGGTATCCCAGCAAACTATCCATCCCATCATTAAACTCTATTAATTTTGTCAATCCTGTATTTCACTGTTACTCCTGCTATTAAAGTGATGCACACGGCCTTAAAAGTATCCTCCATCTTTTGCTTTTATTGTTGTTGTTTTGTTTCCAACTGCAAATTCCTGCATATTTTCTGTCTTCAGATGCTTTGCTTTTCCAGCTTCTTGTACATTTTTCCCGCAGGAGAACGGTGTGGAGTTTGAGGCTTGCTTGGTGGCGCAGTGCGACGCCCTCATCGACGCCTTGAACCGGCGCAAGGCCCAGCTGCTGTCTCAAGTAAACAAAGAGCACGAACACAAGCTGAAGGTGAGTGAGCATGACAAGATCTGTTCCTGAAATCCACTTGTATGCATCAGAAGGCTGGATGTGTTAAATGGATAATGAGGCGTTAACCCTAATGAGGTATTGATTCATGAGCCACACAAGTGCAAACCGAAACAAAATTATCTTACAAATATCCTTGTTTTTCTTTAGAAGTTGCCAGGTTGGGACTTTAAATTTGATCTGCTTCATAGTGGTTGTTTGCTGCTGTATAATCTTGCAGTGTTGGTTTGACAAATTGAGGGCGGTGATTGTGACTGATGGATGAGCTGGCGCTGCAAGTGAAGTTTCATATTGTAGTGGATAAAATACAAAGTCGTGAGGAAAATCTCTTTGCTCTTAAAGAATCTGAAGTTGTGTATTTTTCCAGTTGCATTTTTTAGGTTTTGCAGTATCTTAACGATTTTGATAAAGATTAATGAGAAATCGTACACCGTGCCACCGATTTCAGATGCATAAAGAGCTGCATTTTTCTTTAAGCCATCTGCAACACATTGAACGGGGGACATAAGTGAGATGAGAGGATGGAGAGATACATTTGTGCTGTACAGCATCCAATTTCACACTCGGTTGCTCTGTAGAATTGAGGTTTCACACGTGTAGGTGGTTTGAGGAACATGGCTTGTGCATGGCAACATGTGGGCATACAGGACCAGCAACAGACATTTTCTATTTATTTTTTTAGTCCTGCCTATATATATATTAGGGGTGCAACGATACAACAAAATTCACGGTTCGGTTCGGTTCGATACTTTGGTGTCACGGTTCGATATTTTTTCGATACAAAAAAAATGTTCATGCCTTTTTATTAATTTGTCATTTATTAAATTTTC